GTACAATATTGTCCAATAACATAGGCTACACATACTAATACAATAAGTTAACTACATTTGGCTGATACACTTGGAACAAAACAGTATATATGCCATCATTAACTTGAAGAATACAAAACTAATGAACCGAACTAGGAAAGTACAGTGTGGTGTTGTTGTGTCAATCCCGTTCGATCCCCAAACTTTACTAACTGAGCGAACATTAGCACAAGACAAAGTGCCCTATTCAGGACCACCACATCCTTCAGAGAGTGACTACCATTACATTATTGTTTCAATGTTTTAATATTTAACACCTTGTGCTTGAACGCGATCTTCATTACACCATCACGGAAAAACCGAATAAAAGCTTGCCTATTTATAATAACCTGTTTGGGTTGGCTGCTGTTGAGTTGAGACGCATAACTTCACGATTGACATTCAAAGCTTGCTGCCACCTAAATGCTCATTACTATGCATTACTCATTACATTACTCTGATAGTGTTGGGGAGTAAATGTAGTGTGTAGCAGTTAACTCCCCGGGGTAGGATTCGGGAAGACTATACCGGAACAGAACCAGACAGATCAGTTGTATACAAAAAACACAGTGGTGGTTTATTGCCAGATAGACTGATATTGTAAGTAGTAACAACAGATGAACACTGGTGAAATACACAAATTCTGAGTATATATACTCTCTGAACGAACGTGATAGAAAACACAACTCTATAAAGTAGTAATCGTAACGCAAATATAAATTGGCGGGAATGTGTACGATAGGTCAATAACATCTCGCCTGTGATAGGCTAAAATTAAAACAATCTGATTGGCTGAGAGATTTATCTCAGAATCCGAGACGTAACGTTACATGACTGCTTCTCTAAATTCTCCGCGCCTCAAAAATAAAAAATAAAAACATATGAAAATGTATGTCTACTACATTATCAATGAAATCATGTACTTCGAACAATAATAACAGTATTGGATAAAAGATTCAAGTAAATAAAGTGTCCACGGAAGGCGTTTCAGCCGACTGTCCATATTTATTTTTTGAATATTACGATTAAAAACATAATAATGAAATTGAAATTTCGAAAGTCACATTAAATCAGCAATTCTTATTCGGACTGCCACGGCAGAATCCCTGGTTGGTCGCTTAGGAATAGTGTCACCAGTCATCTGGGTGGTGGTGACATCTTTGTCAGCGGTTAGTCCAATATTTGTATTGTCTCTGCAGGTAATCTAACATCTGATTGATTATTACTTTCAGGCGATGTTAATTCCTTGGAAACAACTTCTAACGGATACAATTTATGTATCGGCCGATTGGTAGGTCCGTTAGCTGTATTTAACTCAGCGGATCTCACAAGTTGGTCGTTGCCGTAAACTAATTTAGTTACGGTGCCAAGATGCCATTTCTGGCGTTTATCCACATCACTGTGGATTATCACAACATCTCCAACTTTTATTGTATTCCCTTTACTTCCTGTAGTTGGGTGTCTCTCTCGAAGGGCAGTCAAATATTCGGTCGACCATCTTCGCCAAAATTGAGCATGTAATCTTGACAAGTGGACATAACGATTATTCATTTCACGGTGGTCTGAGAACTGATAAGTAGGATCGCGTATTTCGTCGTCAGTGACTTCGATATATGGTAATGAGGTCAATGTCCGCCCGTGAAGTAGGTGATTCGGAGTCAATGCTATGTTGTCATTAATACTTGATGACACGTACGTAAGGGGTCGATCATTGAGAACGGCTTCAATTTCTGTTACTAATGTTGAGAGTTCGTCGAATGTTATTAACGCTCGACCCAGTGTCTTCTTAATAGCATTTTTTGTTAGCCCAATTAATCTCTCCCAAAAACCTCCATACCACGGGGCACGTTTCGGTATAAAAGTCCATTGCACTCGGTGTGCAGCGAGAAAGTCTCGGACTTCCGGTGTATCAAATAGTGTGCGAATTTCATCAGCCGCGGAAATGTAGGTCGATGCATTATCAGACAACATGTGACTTGGAAGTGAACGTCTGGCAGCAAATCTTCTGAATGCGTGCATGAACGTTTTTGTTGACAAATCAGGCACAAGTTCGAGGTGAATCGCATGTGTCACCCCCGCAAGTAAATAGATTTCCCGTGAAATCTACACCAGTTATAGTGAAAGCAGGGACAATGTTCACTCGGTAACTCGGCAACGGTGCCTGAACTGGGTTTGCGTACGGTTTCCCTGTAACTTTATTGCATTTCACACACTTGTGAATGACGTTACGCACAATAATCCGTATTTTAGGTATCC